CATGAACAGTCACACTGAAGTCAGTGGACTTGCTAATAGGTATAAAGCTACATATCAGTTTAAGTGTTTAGAGGACTGGGGCTTAGTTTTTAGGGCTTTTGGAGAGGGGCAGAGGTTGGGGGCTTTTTTGGTTTTGTTCTTTGCATATAGCAATTTGGTCAGATTCAAGCACATTACTCTATTAGTACAGGCATCTCCTGAAGAAAGCCTCTATGATTTAGTCCATTATTGTTTTTTTAATCTAAAATCTATCTAAAGATCAATTACCTCACCATGATTTAAATCAGTGATGAATTTTAGAAGTCAAGTGATGTAAATCACCCCACTCAGATTTACATACAACACGCTGCACTCCTCACACCGAGAAGAATCAAGCCAGAGCCAGCTCAGAGCCAATGCCAGAACTCCCCAACTTGCTTCAATGGCAGAGGATCAAGCCCTTTGTGAGTTAAAGGAAAGGTCCAGGTGGAATACAACTAGACTGAAGTAAGGGAACACAGACAGTTTCTTCCTAAATGCTCCTGAAAAATTCAAATGGGCTTCAACAGCAGCAGTAACACATGGATCCAGACAGGGCAAGAACATAATTGTGAACAGAAGCATATCAGGTCCTGAGGACAGCCCACTGGAGCACTTCAGACAAGCATTTCACTTCATTTTCCATAACATTCATCCCCAAAGGGTAAACCACAAACAGAGGTGGAAGGCCATGCAGAATGGCAAATGAAATAAGGAGGGACTGAGAAGTAAGAAAAGTTATCAGAAACAACAGCATGAAATTCAGCCTGAAAATAGAGGAGCTAGTCTCCCTTGGGAAATATAAAAAAATATTTAAATTGAATGGTGAAGGGGTAACAGCAAGAGACCAGAGAGACAGAAAAGAAACAGGAGTTTGAAATGCAATACGGAAATAAAAAGGGTCAACACTGCTTTGGGTTACACAAAGGTATCAGACAGGAAGAGAGTTTAAATATCAAGACAGCATTCTTGCAAGCCAGGCCTTTAACACCCTCACAAAGGAAGCAGCACTCTTCTCCAGCGGCATTAAAACAAAATGAAGTGGCAAGAGTCGTCTGAAGGTAAAACATAATTCCAGGTGGTCCAAAAGTGGAGGAGGGGGGGAACCAATATTGTTCTCTATGACCTTTATTTTGCATAAGGCTCAAGTGTTCAGCCAACCTGTCTTGATGCAGACAAGTGAATATTACCCCTTTAGAAGCTAAGCAATGGAGCGGGGAGGGAGATCACCAAGCCCACACCATAAGTCAGAGAGACGGGCAGGATTACAATGCCAGAGAACCCACACTTCAGTCACTACAACCATGATGCCCTTTACTGTTCTCCTCTGTTCCTGCTAATACGATCAACACTAAACTCTGGTTTCCCAGTTGCCCATATGCGGACACATCTTTTCAGCACCAGAGAAGACCGCAGAACCTCTGGGCTGCTCCCCTAGCCCAGCAGAGAAGAACCCTTTTTCAAGGCCAGACAGAAACCCTGGGGCTCATGGTGCACTGCTTAGGCAACATCACTGCATGCTTTCCCATGGTGTCAGGTGACCTCAGCAAAAGCCCAGGAAGCATGACCTTTAGTGCAGCCTTCAACTTCCCCGGTCCATTCAACGTGTGGCCTCTGCCAAACTACAAGCATGGAGCCGATTACTGCCATCTGTAACACAAGTAAGGGCCTACAAGCAACTCAAGCACAACTGTCTGGTACATTCATCAAGTGACAATGACTCTTCACCACTTACCAGCCTCAGCTTGATTTGCTACATGTCCTGCAATTATCAGCACCAAGAATTCTAATCCAGTAATGTAGCTGCCAGCACAACAGTAGAGCAGACACTTTGCCCTAGAAAGCATCAGCAAAAGATCCAAAATAGGCCACTCCAAACAAATTTGCCTATTCCTAGTGCACTAAGAAACCAAAGGCCTGTTTCAGGCTATGGAAATCACCAAAACCTCACAGAGGACTTAAACAGCCACTCTCAAAGGGAACATAATCCTTGCTAAGTGCCAAAAATGTGTTAAGCTCCAGAGTGACTTTCCAAACCTAAAACATGAAGAATCAGTGCAGCACCTGCCTAAGTCTGCTGCCAACTCTAGGGCCACTGCTGCTCTCCCGAGCTTTGCCAAAGAGTCGTGTAAAAAGTTCCCAGCCTCCCTCGTAAACCAAGAGGAGTTTAGAACAAGGACAGGCTAGCAGAGAAGTCATTCCCACAGCAGCTACCAGCTTCACGTTAGGGCCAGAGCAAAGTGCTCATTTTCTCCCTTGTACAATCCTAGGATGAGGTCTCAAGCTTACCAGATACATAGCAGGAGGAATATACAAGCGAGATCCAGGAATCACACCCATTTAGGAAGGTGAACCCCTGGTGAAGGTGAACTTCCAGCCTAAAGGCAAAGCAGAGGGGGTCCATGCTGCTCATACTCAGGAGAGCAAAACTTCTCACCTCAGTTGAACTCTCAGGTGTTTGGTAAAGTCAATCCCCCACAGAGAGTAGATGCAAGCAGATAATGAGAAGTGAGACAGGCAAAGAGAGAGAGAAAGACCATGCACACAACACAGGGAAAGGAACCAGGGTGCTTAAGGGAAAAAAAAAAACAGGCCCTGAAAACAGATAAAATAAGCTTCCATTGTAGCAAAAGAAAACAGATGCTGAAGCCAGGGAAACCACGTGTGAAACAGACCACAGCCAAAAAGAAAGTAAGTTATTTTGCAGCAGTATATTAAATAGAAAAGTGAAATCTGTAACTGCACTACTGCTTTGAGCTGCAAGTGCTGGGGACCTGGGGCACCATGAAGGAAGATGCACCGCCAAGTCGGGCTAGTAAGCAAAGAAGCATATTTCCCAAGTCCTGCATCTGGATCGCGAGCACTCCCCAGGAGACCCGTTTCCACACAGCTGCCCCGCGCATCCCACCCCAGGAGCTCCGTCCGGTGCATCACACAACGGCTACAACCAGCAGCTCTAGCGCTGCCACGTCGGAGCCAGTCTCTGGGAAAAACATGCTCGCTGCCAGCATTGAAGAGGCATTTCCCCTCCCAGCAAACAGAAGCCTGAATGGGAAGCCACAGTCGCTATAAAGCGCATGGAGCCAGACAAGCTGGAGGGGACGGTACCACCATCCTGGGATCACTCGCCAGCGACTGAGCTCCACAACCAGGGAACTCGACATGAGCGGCTTGCTCGCAGTGGGATGCAGGCCCCATCGCTTCACTCCTCAAGAAGTGTTGCGGACGCTTGCCTGCACGCGTGAAGTCTCCTATTCAGAAGCAGTCAGCCTGCAGACCGCCGCATGCGAACACGACATGCAAAGGCCGCACGTGAGCCCCGGTGCAAACGCACCGGCCCGCTACGGCCGGCGCCCTCCAGTCCTGACAGACGCTTGTGAGAAGAAATACCTATTGCCCCTAGAGAGAAACTTGTAAAAAGCTTTGCCCGCTTCCTGCTGGTGCCAGGAAAACCTTTCCAACAGAGGACAGGGAAGGCAGCAGAACCACACGAGGTGCTGGGAAAGCCGAGAGCGGGAGGACGGGACGGGGAGGGGAG